AAGCATCTACGATGTGCCATGCACTGTACTAAGCTCTGAAGAATCAAACACTAAAAGGAAAGACAGTCTTTGCCATTAAACAACTCACAATCTAATGGGCCATCCATTTTAGAAAGGAAAACTGAAAAGGCATTAGCAGAATTTACAGAGCAGAGGGACATGATGGAGCAGAGTCCACTGGGAAATGAAGAGATAGCTGCCCTGTGTTCCCTTATTAAATGGAGGTTTAGGGAGGAACTCTTCACTTTGCTCTGTAATCAGAGGGCTCCCAAGGTCAGAGGTTTAGTACTGATGAGGTTTAGCACTAAGACTGATGGCATCTTTCATGATGATAACATTAGGCAAAGGGCCCAGAATCATCCCAAAAAACATTACGTGAGTCATCTTCCACCTTGGAAAAAGAGCTAGGGGAAAGGCACAGGGCAGAAAATGGCCTGGTAAAGTTGAAGAACTGAATATCAAAGTCTTGGTGCAATTTAGAATATATTGCTTTTCATGATTCAGTTATAGTTCCATCCCCCAAATCAAATTCCCATGTCTGGGAGAAGCTGAAGGCCAATTCTAACAATTCATCAGCAGAAAGTGTAGGAGGCTCTGAATATACTAGGTTGGTGGGGGAAGGAAACTCTGCATTTGCCTTGTGTTCAATGATGTTAAAAAGGCTTTAATTCAATATTGTAATTTAATTAATGTTGACTATATTACAGATGAGATTTCACATTCTTTTGTGCTTTATTGAAGGAACTAATATACTAGGACTTTCAAAATTTACAAGTTCAGGTAACTTTGAGTCCACAAAGACATGATGAGTGAAGAAACACAACAATTAAGTGAAAAATACCTTTTTAAAAAATTAGGTAATAACTGCAAATGAACCCTCCTAGTGCTTTTAAAAAATTAGAATCATTCCTGTAATGAAATGTTGTGACACAATCATGCAGATAGAATGTTCATAAAGCAGTCCCAAAGCTACAGAGTTTATTTGTGTTAACTCAGGATTTAGTCAGCAACAATTTTAATATTAATGTTAAGTAAGTGTAACCAGAATATATATTCTTTGGACACATTTGTTTTTTCATGAACATGTGTTTTAAACTGCAGGTGGCCTGAATGTGAATGAAGAGAAAAATGGAAAAAAGAGAAAATAGATACTCCTTGGCATGACCATAAAGTCAAATTCAATATTCCAACACAACTGGCTGAAGAATAAATAACTTTCAATTAAAAATATTGTTTTTGTATGCATAGCATATTATGCCAAATAACCACTTTCACAGATTTTTCTTTTCAGTTAATTGAGGGTTTTGTCACTGTATCTATATAACTTTTGAGTGGAGTGTGGGTTCAGAGGAATTTAGGGTTTGGAGTTAAGAAGACCCAGCTTCACATCTCACCTCTGGCAACAGCTGTGTGACTTAGGCTCTTCATTTAAGATGTAAATGTCCAAGGCAGCTACCTAAAGTTTAGAGTACATGCTTATCTGTTTGGCATCTACAGTCCTTCTTCACAAGAACATGGTTCTAATGTTCACTTTCAATCTTCAATTATGATCTTCCACACACTTTATGGTTCAGGCAAACTTGACTTCTTGCTGTACTTCAATATGACATGCAGTCTAACATCCCTGTGTCTTTGAATAGTCTTTCCTTTCCTTACTGCCTTACTCCTTCCTGATCTCTCTCTGTTAGAAGCACATTCAAGTCAGCTCAGTCAATAAGCATTTACTGCTTGTTGACAATTATGCTTAGGGCACTGTGCTAAGTACTGAGGATACTAAGAATGGAAAAAGGGAGAAAAACAGCCCTTGCTCTCAAAGAACTCATAATTTAATAGGGCAGACAACATACAAATATCCATCCATCCATCCATCTATCTAAAGAACTTGGGAATCAATTATATGATATGGGAGACACTGGCAAAGGACTACCCAGCACATAAATCAAAGGCACTTAAGCTCTTATGAGTGAAGCAGGAATGCAGTAGCTCAAAAGAAATGAGAGATGTGCAAATTTAGAGATATCTTGACTCCAATTGTTCATATGGACTATTTGTGTCCAACCTGTGGTAGAGCCTTCTGAGCTTATAGTGATCTGATCAGCCATAGCCAGACTCACTGTACCTTGACTCCAACATAGTGTGGCCATTTTGGTCCTCTTTGAGAACAAAGGACAACAACCAACCAATCTATACACCCCCCCCGTATACATATGTGTGTATATATATAAACTTTTGCTGTCTCTTTAATATATATACATATATACATACACGTATACATATATATATACACATATATGTGTGTGTGTGTATATATATATATATATATATATATATATATATATGATAATATATACTTAATCTCAAGGGGAAGGCACTAGCATGAACAGGGTTTGACAAAGGCTTCTTAAAGAATGTGGGAGAGACCTGAAGGAAGCCAAGGTAGACAGGAGGTAGAGATGAAGAGGGAGAGCATTCTGGATATGGAATGACCACGAAAGAAAATACACAGAGGTGGGAGATGAAGTGTCTTGTGAACAGAGGAACAAAACCAGTCACTGCATGGTAGAGAACCCTAGAAAGGTAGGAGGTCAGGTTATAAAGGCCTTTAAAAGAAAGAATTTGACATGTGATCCTGTAAGTGATAGGGAGACACTGGGGTCTAATAATGAAGAGATGACATGGCCAGATGTACACTTTAGAAAGATCACTTTGATAGATGAGTGAAGGATGGACTGGAGTGGGGAGAGATACAAGGCAGAAAGAACAAACAGAAAACATTTGTAGTAGTGTAAGCATGAATTTATGAAGGTCTGCACCGGGATGGTGGCAGTGTTGGAGGAGAGAGGGGGGTCATAAGTGAGAGATATAATGAAGATAAAATCAACAGGCATTCACAAGAGAGTGATGTAGAAGATGCAGTAGAGTGAAGAGTTGAGGATGAGATCTAGTATGTAAGTCTAAGTTCCTAGGAGTATGGTGGTGTCCCAGACAGTAACAGTAAAGTTAGGAAGAGAGGAAGGTTTGGAGAGAAAGATAACGAATTCAGTTTTGGACTGATTCCATTTGAGAAGTCTACAAGACATCCACTTCAAGATGTCAAATAAGCAGTTAGAGATGTAAGATAGGATGTCAGGAGAGACATAAGGGCTGGAAAGTAGAATTAAGACTTTATTGCATAGAGATAATTCAATCAATGGGATCTGATGAGACTACCAATTGAGGTAACACAGGGAGAAGAAGGCCCAGGACATAGTCCTAGAAGACCTTCAGAGATATTGGAAATGTGGAGGATGAAGATACAGGAAAAGAGACTTAGAATGAGCAGTCAGGTATGTTGGAAGAGAATCAGGAGAGAATAGTGTCACAGAAACCAAGAGAAAAGATAATATCAAGGAAAAGAACAGTGTTGAAAGTTAAAAATTGCAAAAAAAGGTAAGAAGGAGGAGAATTGAGAAAAGTCCTTTAAATCTGGCAATTAAGATATGGCTAATTTTAGAGAGAGTAGGTTTCATTTGAATACAAGGTTGGAAGCCCCATTGAAGAGAGTTAAGAAGAGAAGGGAGGAAGAAAGTGAGAAGAAATGAAGTGAAAGCACTAATGATAAATAGTCTTCTTGAGGAATTTAGCCATGAAAGGAAGGTGAGATACAGGATGCTGGCTGATGGGAAAGGAAGATTATTTGAGGATGGGGGAGATATGAGCATGTTTGGAGATAGTACGGAAGCAGCAAGTAGACAAGGAGAGATTGAAGATTAGTGAGAGAGTGGGGATAATGGAGAGAGTGATCTGCTGAAGTAGATAGGAAGGAATGGATCACTTGTGCTCATAGAAAGGTCTACTTTGGCAAGAATGGCCACCTCTTCATATGCAGTATGGTAAAGCAAGCAACATATAACAGGGGAAAAAATCTGTGTAATGTGAGATGAAGAGGATGTGAAGAGAAGGAGCCCACAAAAAAATGGCCTAAATTTTTTCGGTTAAATATCAAGCCCAAGATCATGGGATTATAAATTTAGGTCTGGGAAAGCAGGTTTTTGTTGTTGTCATTGTTGTTGTTCAGTTGTTTCAGTTGTATCTGGACTCTTTGTGACCCAATTTGGAGTTTTCTTGACAAAAATACTGGAATGGTTTGCCATTTCCTTCTCTAGTTCATTTTACATATGAGGAACAGAGGCAAACAGGATGGAGTGACTTGCTCCAGGTCACACAGTTAGTAAGTGACTGAGGCTGAGTCCGTATTTGAACTCAAGAAGAAGAGTCTTCCTTACTCCAGGACTGGTACTCTATCCAGTGGACCACCGAGCTGCCTGAAAATATTTGTTAGGGGTTATATATTAAAAGTGCCTTGTTTCACAGATGAAGAAACTGAAGTATGGACAGGTTGAGTGACTTGCCTAGGATCACAAAGATACTCAAGTATCAGAGGCAGGATTTAAATTCGGTATCTTTCTGAATACTTCTTTTCCTTCAAACCTCAGCTGAAACATCACTTCTTACACAAGGCCTTTTCTGATGTGCCCGCTGCTTATACCTCCCTATGAAAATAACTGATGTTAATTTTGGATATATTTTACATACAGTTACTTATGTAGAAATCATCTCCCTTGAAAGAATGTAAATTCCCTGAGGGCAGTCACTATTTCATTTTTGTCTTTGTATCTCCTGTTGTCTATCATAGTGTCTGGAACATGGCAGATACTTAATAAATCTCTTGTGCTTGGTTGACTGACTGACTGACTGACTGACTAAGTCCTGTGATCTTCCTCCTAGTATCATTCATTGGGCTAATGAAATCACTGATCCTTCCCAAAGTCCCATATAGGACCATACCAAGATAGCTCCCAAAATAAAATAAAACAAATCCAATTAAAACTATTAATAATGGAAAATTCCCAGGGATAAACACAGTAATTGAAAACTCAATAACTGACAGCACCTTTAGAACAGCAAAAAGTAAAATATAAGCATAGTGAACTGAACAGAAATTTGAAAAATAGGCTTACCTCCAACAAGTCCCACACAGAGGTAAAGTTGTATTACACTATTACAAAAAGAAGCAGAAATCATTCCCAAAGAACATAGTATACCTCCTGCTATCATTACTGGCCGGCTGCCATATTTATTCACCAAAATACTGCTTATTGGACCTAAAGGAAAAAAAGAAGATAAAGAAATTTTCACTTAAAAAAACCTTTTTTTTAAAATTTAGTTTTGAATTTCAAAGAGCATATTGTTTATATTCAAGAAACAATTTTACTTCATAAAATATAATTTAGTACAATATCTTGAAGTATCTGTATTGTTACTATCATATTTTTAAAATGTGAAAATTCTTGAAATTAATATTTTTCCTTAAATCTAATTTAGCATACATTTATTAAGCATCTCCTATATGTGCAAGGCATGGATCTAGGTGCTATCTATATAAAACCAAATCCTAGAGACTGGTAGATAACTACAACAATGATGTGGTTAGGGAGACACACATTGAAATACTGAATTTCAAAAGAGGAAAGATTATTTAGTGATGGAAGGAGAGGAAGGATCTAGAAATGTCAATGATGAGCAAGGAATATCCTGACCTCCTTTAGCCCAATATGCTGGGGGCACGAGTAAGATAGTCCATCTACTACTGGAAAAAGTAGTGAAGGATAAGTCCTCTAGAGAGAACCTAGTTTCCATGTGTGTAAGATGGAAAGATAAGGAGAAAAGGTCTAGGATGGAGGGAAATTTGTTAGTGATAAAATGGGGCTTCCTGAGGGCAGAAAGGTAATACCTTCCTCCTATCCCTCCCCACCCATGGAGAAGGCAAACAATATGATATCAATCATACACATAAAAGCATCCATGAAACATATTTTCATGTTAGCCATATTGGAAAAAAAAGCAAATATGTAAAAAACTTATACTTTAATTTGCACTGTGAACTCATCATATTTTTTTTTATGACCAATACTTTGTAATTGTCTTGGAACATTTTATTGAAAAGAGCACTCAAGTCTTTCATAGTTGATCATCGCTACAACATTGCTGATATTGTGCACAATGTTCTCCCACTTCTTCTCACTTCACTTTGCAGCAGTTCATATAGGTCTTGTCATGTTGTTTTGTTTTTGTTTTGTTTTCTTCTGAAAGCAACCTCCTCTTGCAATTTTTTTACAGTATAATGATATTGTCACAATCATATGTCACAACTTGTTCAGCCATTCCACAATTGATGAATATCCCCTCAACTTTTAATTCCTTGCTAGCACAAAGAGAGCTGCTTTAAATATCATTGTATATATTGTTCTTTTCCTTTTGCTTTCATCTATTTGGAGTACAGATCTAGTAGAGGTATTGCTAAGTCAAAGGGAATATACACAGTATAATAGCCCTTTGGGCATAAATGCAAATTGTTCTCCAGAATGATGGGACAGTTTACAACTGCACCAACAGTTTATTAGTGCACCTATTTTCCCTGATCCCCTCCAACATTTGTCTTTTCTCCTAGGGGTAAGGTGATGCTTCAGAGTTATTTTAATTTGCATTTCTCTAATCAATAGAGATTTAGAACACTTTTATATGAATATAGATAGCTTTGATTTCTTCTGAAAACTGCCTGTTCACATACTTTGACCATTTATCAATTGGGAAATGACTTTTATTTTTATAAATTTGACTTCATTCTCTATGTATTTGAGAAATTAGGCATTTATTGGAGAAACGTGTAAATATTCACACATACATATCATATATTACTTCACATATCATTTATGGTACTTGTTAGTAAAATATAGTTTTCCTGATTATCTCTTTTAATTTGGTCTATTTTTGCTTTTGCTTTGTCTGAGATCATAATTGCTACCTCTGACTTTTTTACTTTAGTGGAAACATATTGGATTGTGCTCCCATACTTTACTTTAACTTTGTGTGTGTCCTTCTGTTTCAAGTGTTTCTCTTATAAACAACATATTGTTGGATTCTGGTTTTTAATCCATTCTGCTATCCACTTCTGTTTTATGGGTGAGCTCATCTTATCACATTCATAATTGTGATTACTAAATGTGTATTTCCCTCCATTCCATACTCTTCTGTTTCTTCTCTCTCTCTCTCTCTCTCTCTCTCTCTCTCTCTCTCTCTCCTCTCTCTCTCTCTCTCTCTCTCTCTCTCTTTATTTCTCTGAATAAATCTACTTTTCTTCTAACCAGTGCCTCCCTTAATCTACCCTGCCTTATTTATTCATTCATTCATTCATTCATTCATTCATTCATTTATTTATTTATTGATGAACGTATCCTATTGGATAAGATAGATTTCTACACACAACTCTGTGTGTGTATGTGTGTGTTTTTCCTCTTTGAACCAATTCTGATAAGAATGAGATTCAAGCATTGCACATTTTCCACACATTTTGTCTCTCCACTATAAAAGCTCTTTCTTTCAAACCTCTTATATATGAGAAAAAGTTCCTCCTTCTGTCTCTCCCTTACCCCTCTTCCCAACGCATCCGTCTTGTTCACCTCTTCATTTTTTTGAGATTATTCCAACATAATCAACTCACACCCATGCCCTCATCTATATGCAAACTCCATTTAACTTCCCTAATAATGATAAAGTTCTTAGCAGTTATGTGAATCATCTTCCCATATAGGAAGTTTAACTTCATCAAGTCTCTCATGATTATGAATAAATCACTTGAGAAGTCATATTTTCATATCTTAAACACAAAGGGAAGTGAATCTTTTCCATTCTTCCATGGAATTACTAGTTAGAATAATACATGATAGATACAACCCTTTGCAAAATGTTACCTTGTACTAACAGGACACACATAAAACATTCTTGTCAGCTCACTGAAGTTTTGTAATTGCATCCATTAACAGTTGCTTTTCATACCTACCCAGTATCTAATATTCAGAGCCAACCAATAACTACTGTACTGTGCTATATTTGTTGGCCCTAACAGTAAAAATATGAACCTAGAAAGGAAAATCATTTGGTTCCATGGACATAAAAGTAGAGAATTTAAGATACTATAGTTTTAAGAGTGTCTGAAAACACTCAGAATTTTGTTATATGATCTGTTGATATGGGTATATTCAACAGACTAGGGAGAGTTGCAGAAGGTGTTCTAAATGATATCTCTGATTTTTTTTTGCTTGATCTCATTATTTTACAATCTTCTGATATATTTTATGTCTTCAGAGCCCAATACATATGACTTTACCTAAAGCAAGGGTTCTTAACTTGGAACTCTCAGAAAGGAGTCTGTACATAGATTTAAAGGGATCCATGGAATCCGAAGGGGAAAATATTCTTTATTTTAACAAATCTCTAATAAAAATTTGACATTTCCTTTAATTAAGAATGTAGGCAAAAATAAAATTCAAAGAAAGGGTCCATAGGTCTCTTCAGACTATCAAAATCTCTCAAATACTATATAACACAAAAGAAAGTATTTTAAAATATACAAGGAAATATAAACACAGACATCCTGGGGGAAAGAGGAGGAATACTCAGGTAGCTATATATCCAAAAGTTGCATTACTTCACCTCAACAAGATTTCATGTGGTTTTCCATCCTTCAAGAACACAGTTCAACAACTACAGTAAAATTGGTCAGCCTTAACTAAAGACCCAGGCCTTTCTTGGATTTATCTGGGATGTCACAATTCAATAGCTCTACCTTCATTGTTTATGATAATTGATGTGACAATGATTCAGCAACTTGAACCCTAGAAAATTTTGAATCAAAGATAGTTTTCAGCACTTTTCTCTAAAAAAAGATATGAACTGCGGCCAAATCTAACTGAATCTATAGATATCACTATCAATATCAGTTAAAATAGCATTTAATAAGTTTCTAGTATTCCAGGTCTTGAGGGATCTCCAGACATAAAGATAAAATATATTCTTTGTCCTCATGGAATTTGAAATTTATAATCAGAGGACACAACATATACACACATATGTATATTACATACATATTATATAAAAATACAGATGTATGTACATAATTAAACACATCTCTATGTACATATATACATCTCTATATACCCATATACATATGTATATGTATAGATTCATGTACAGATTCATGAAACACAAATGCACACAGACGTGTGTGCATAATAAGTAAATCTTAATGGTAAAAGGAAAGTATTATGTAATGTCATAGAGGAGGCTATTGTTAACTTGGGAGTTTGGGCATTTTTTTTTTAGAAATAGGTGTAATTAAATTGAGCTTTAAATGTTAGGTAGGAATTCAACAGTTGGAGAGTGGATGATTTAATGCATAGGTATAATATGGGCAAAATGAAGGTATTAGGAGAGTATATAACGTATACAGATTAAGGTGAATAGTCCTATTTGGCTGGAGCATTGAGGACATAGAAAGTGGTAGTGTAAGATAAAACCTCAAAAGTAGAATGTTCATCAATAAAGCATTTCTTTTTACAGAAAAAAAAAACAACTGAAGGAAAGGTCAAGTGTTGGCAGACTGTTGCCAGGCAAAGAAGAAAATAATGAACTATTGAAAGTTTTTGAAAGAGGAATGCCTTGACCAGATCTATAGATAAGGAAGATATCTGGCAGCTGGAGGTTTTAGGAAGAATGAGTCAATCAGAGGAAGGGGCTACAGAGGCAGACCATGTGTGAGAAGTGAGAGCATGAAGTGAACTTCAAGGGTGACAGTCATTCTGTAGCATGGTAGAGAAAGTCTGCAGGGTCTTTTCCACAGGGGAAAGAAATTGAGGCAAACAGGTTAAGTGACTTGCCCAGTTCACACAACTGGTAAGTGTCTGAAGCCTGATTTGAACTTGTGCTTTGAATCTTCATATTTCCAGGCCCAGCATTTTATCCACTGTACCACCTAGCTGCCCTAGAGGGTATTGAATACCCTTGCTAAAAGATAAACCTGGGTGTGTGTGTGTGTGTGTGTGTGTGTGTGTGTGTGTGTGTTTTGGAGGAAATGACACATCAAACCCTTACCAGTCATTAACAATAGTTAGTGGTCACCTAATAAGACAATGAGTAAATGGGACATGGCTGGCAGTTTTTTGTTTTGTTTCGTTTTGCTGGAGCCAGCATTCAGACAGTGAGTGACTGAAGTATAAATTATTCACCAAGAGCACCCAAAGAGGGCAAATTAAAGTTGAATGAATGC